GTTCCAGTAGGAGGGCTACTTCAGATGGCTCGCTACTCCCAGGCTACTCGATCGAAGAAGCACTTTCACGGGCCTACAACGAAGCCTTCCCGACGCGCGAGGCGAGGAACACGGGAGTCGTGAAAATTTTCGACCTACGGGGAACTCACAGCATCACGAGCAGGATTCGCCGAAACCTCGCGGGTGAACTGCTCGTCATCGGCAGCGTTCCGGCAGGAACGTGGTGGAACAAAGACGGCGTGTTCAACTCCGACTCGGCACGTGACCACTTCGCACTCGAAACGACACCGGAGTCGGTTGAACGTCCCCGATGCATAGACGTAAGTCGGGAGCTTGCTAGCGGCATGGTCGTTTCTATCAGCAACGCAGGGGTCGCCACTGAACCCACAAACGCCGAGACCAAACAGGCATCTGTCCGTCCAGACGGGTTACACAACGACGACATCGATCGACAGGCTGACCTCGTCCCGGCTTCATGTCCAACTTACAAAACAGAATGCCGAGAAGTTCCTGCTCTCTTTCCACTGGCACTTCCGCTGGCATTTCCGCAGCTTGCACGCCGCAGAGCTCTTGGACTCAGCGGTAGCATCCAGGCTTGTAACCTGGCAATTGCGCTTCCAGCATCCATGCACTTTAACACGCTAGCTAACTACTATCGATGCTCGCTCCAAACCTTCCCCCACCCTGAGAGCTTTCCCCCAAATGTCTTGAAGAATGAGGTGATAGTGACAACTGATCGCACGGTGGATGAAAAAATGAATTGCTTCGAGCACAACACAGACCTCGAAGTCCCCATTATCGGCGCATGCGTAGAACTGGGCGACGAGACCGAGGAGCGTGAAGAAAGTACGGGGCACGGGAAAAGCTTTGTAATGAACAATGCTCTCGCTCCTTCAGGTGACGCTTCGTCTAAGCGTAGCTCCGTAGAGCTCGCGACTCGGCCCGCCAAGAGCGCCCCACTTGATCTGGCTGGAGCAGAGCCCGCCACCCAACTATCACAAATGAATGACAGCTTCGTTGGACCACTAAGTCCTCGGTACGACACCACAAGCTCCCCCTCAGTCTCACTGTCACAAGTGAACGGCGCAAACGAGCTTGCTAGCGCTGGCCAGAATCTGAACCGCCCCGATCCGAACTTTGAGAGCTGCTCATTTTCTTCATATAGACAGATTAAAGGTGAAGTCAGCCCCCCATCGGCAGCGATGAGCGACTCGTCGGGTTCTGTATTCAAAACCGGGAACAGCGATGAAAGTTACCATGTGCCTTGCGCTCAGACCTCGCTGAACGAGGTTGAAGAGCACGACCGAAGTTTTTACGAGGGTGAATGCGTGGTGCCTGATGTAGTGAAGATACGCTTGCCAGAGCAGGCCGGATGCTTCGATCTCGAAGCCGAACGTGACTGCTACTTGGACGACCTGCCTCACATCACGAGCGCCCAAATGGAAGAACTCCGCGACCATGTTCGAGTGTTGGTCGCAAGCCGGGCTCCACGTCCGAGCACGCCAACAACACCCCTTGGCCGACAGGCGGGGTCCCTGTCAAGCTCTGACGTGGACGAGGAAGAGAGCTCCGCAGAAGACGTCACTGAAGAAGACGGGAGCGACGACAGTTCGCGCACTCTTCACACGACCACTGATGAGTCGGACCTGTCCGAATACGACCAGGTGTCCTGTTACTCGCTTTATTCGTATGTCTCGGCGTCTTCCTCGGGAGCTTCCGGCGGGGCTTCCAATACGTTCGACCGGTTCACCCAGTACACTCGCCGCGACGAGGAAACCCCCGAAGACGCCGAGTCGAGCGACGAACTGTTCATGCCTGTTGGCTGCTCAGCGTCTTCATACTCCAGAAAGAGGAAGGCCGAATGCTCGCCCGAAGGCAGTCCGGAGGCTCAGGAAGATCCATTCGCTGGACTCATCAAGAAAGCTCGTCTAGTCCAGCTCGAAAGTGCTGTAGGCACCACGCCACGCGCGGAACTGAAGTCGAAGGACGACTCTGGGGTAGCAGTATCCGCGACTGCGCAAACGGAAGAGCCGAGCAGTGGCGTAACAACTGCGACGGGCAACGGGAGTCTGCACAGGCTAGTGCTGTCGCAACATAATTACTGTAAATACAGCACAGAAGAAGACTTGAATGAGCGATACGCAAGACGTTCGGGTGTTGACGGCGATGCGATGAATGTGTCGCCTCTTTCGTCTCCTATGAAAGGAAGACGCATTAAACCGCGGGGCGATGAAGACTCAACCAATCACCTTAGCACTCCTCGCGAGGGCGTGGCCAAACTGGTGGACTACCCTGAATGTACTCCTCCTAAAGAGGAAAACAGCGGCGACAGCACCCCGCCTGTACAGCACTCGCAGAGGCGCCCTCTCGCGGACATATCGAATAACAAGGAAAAACCTCAGCGCAATACTGCGAACAAGGCAGACGTCTACAAGAAGGTCATGGAAATATACTTCAACGAGAACTCCAGAAACTTCATGGTCGTTCCGGCGTATCAGGAATGTCCTGATCCAGAGAACAGCGAGAACATCCCTCCTGATGAAAGAGAATCCGGGACCGAACATGCTTTATACGCAAGCGGTGGACAGGGAGTCAAACCCGGCAGCATGCAAGCCCCGAACGAGCCGGAGGTGCCTCGCAAAAGCGCTGCTTTCAACGTGGCGAGTACGTCCGAAGAAAAATGCAATGATCACGGGGAGGCCGACTGCCAAGGTAACAAAACATTGAAGCTCTTGGCTTGAACCGGCACCAAAGTCTTGGTGTGAGTGCTTTTATGCGTTCTTTGTTTTGTAGAATTTGCATCTGTAGCCATGTTATAACTAATTAACTTACTATGAAAACTGGCCTAGTAATCAATGAACCAATAAGTGGCATGTGTAACTAATTAAGACATACATACAATTCAGTTCGAAATACCCGTTTGAACTGGTCCACCACTTGACTAGGTAATGAACTTGAATTAAATATTAAATTTAATATAAAACACGAATATCAAGTTACCAACGTATTTGCCTACGTATTTACGCCCACCTTAAAAAAAAAAAAAGACGCAATCTTGACCTTTATGGAGTCGAAAAGCGTATATATACGTCAAACTCGTAATATATAACCCCCATATAATTAACTATTGTGCATATTGAACAATTTTACATTTGACTTGAATGTATTTTCGATCCATATTATGTGTATACGTGGAACGACCAATACATCAAAATTTTATCCAGTTTGTCCATCCACTGTTTCATGTCGGACGGTCACGCGGTGGTCAACGCATACCTTAAACGGTACTAACAAGGCTCGAAACCTGGCAAAATAAACTGGCTAAGTTAAACAAATGAAATCACAAAGTAAGCATGAATTAATCGTAGTAAATTGCCTAAAATTAGGAAAGACCCTTCTGAAACATTGGGCTGATACCAGCCCCACGCGACCGAAAGCGCCACCGCCTCGACAGGCGAATTATTGCCCACCGCTGATCGAGAACGCCCCTCTAGACTGGCCGTGGATGGCCAACGGAATCGCAGGGTTGTGCGTGCTACGCAATTCCTCATACTCCACGACAGGAAAGTTGCAACAAACGCAGGACTTGCAACTGCATCCAAGACCTACACAGGCAACATTTGATGAGCTTTTTTTTTTTCCAGATGAGCTAAATACAGAACCGAAACTAGCTCAAATAAGGCTTTTTTTGGCACACACGCACTCTCAGCTTGACTCTCAACTAATAATAATAAATTACAAATAATAATTAGCATTTTATTATTACTGTCTGAGATGAACGTTGAGGGTATGCATGTGCCGACACAGCCTTGTTATTTTAGCTAGTTTCGGTTCTTTATTCGGTCCATTTCGGAATGAAGCTGCTCGTTTATAAGTAAAAAAATAAACAAGAACTACAATAAGGCGCTACATTAACCATAAATTTAGCACTGAATTAGAGCCGAACTCACGCTACATTAGGCGCTGGATTTAGATTTTTTTCTTTTTTAGGTGATGCCTTTCAGATTTGATATATTCGGGTTTGACTGCACGTTGCGTTTTTCCGATCGATACAGATGCAAGCAGCGCTGGTAATGTAGCCCGAAATTTAGTGAAGATCCATTAAAGCGAGCCGACACCTCCGTTTATTGGCTCGGTAATCGACAAACGTATCCTTGGAAACAGCCCACAACGATATTGTAAATCTTCACGTATAAGGGAGGAAATTATTTATATCAACGTTCTGTTTCTTTCATCTCTGCGATCCTTCAGGTCCGAAAAAGAAGATTCGGAGAATCGGTCTTCCCAAGAGCTTCAAGGGTCAAGCACTGCATCCCAACTGGAAAGCAAATGTCGAAAATTGATACGACGCGGCCATGACCGGATTTGCTTTCACTTTTTTTCGTTTCTTTATTTTGTTTTCTCCACAGGTTGTTCCTTATTTATTACATTGTATACCTGGTTAAATAAAATTGTTTCTGTGTTCCGGCTTCAGGAACAGGCTGGACTTGTGTTGTGTCTTCTTCACCCGAATATATAGTGCGATTAACCAACTAATTGGTATTCTCATATCCTGTCATGATAAGTACAGAAACACTGTGTGACTATATTAATGAGCGCGTTAAAGAACCTCAAGTGGTCAGAATTAACACAGACCCCCCCCCCCCCCCTCACCTATAGAACAGGCCTTTTTTTTGCATGTGAATTTTTGTTTAGACTGCTGTTATCGCATTCATAAAAGTGCGACTAACAATGCAATGCGAGCTTCCATAAATATTTAACTAATAATTCGTGACTAATAATAAACCTTCTGATCAGTTAAGCTTATGCTGGCACAAGGAGGCAGATTCTACACATACACATTCGTACGAAGCAGTGACTTGGTTTAAAAAGCAGGCATGCATTTTCTGCTGAAACACATCCAAGACGTGCTTCACTATGCGAACACTTACGATCACGAATGTAAACTAGGAAATCAGCTTGTCAGGTTTCATTAGTTGACGAAGATGAACATGTCAAAATAAGAAATAAATAAACATAAATTTATTGCACTTTTTTGTCACAGACACTAACATGGATAAAAGACGTTCGTGCAGGTCGAGAGTCGACCATCGACTCTGCAAAATAATTGGTGCATCTATGACAGGAAATTTTGCAACAGTAAACATCACGCAGAACTTTACAACAAATGTAGTTTTGCTATTTTAACTTCATTCGGCACGTATAGATTACCCAGCAGTACGATGCACACATTTGAAAATTTGACAAGCACTGCAACCATCAATATGACACACAATGACGTCGGCAAGAAACACAACCACACTAGACGACGGCCGGTATATTCTTTGTGACTTTACCCCTTGGCTAATCGACGAGGGTTGCCATGTGGGCTTGGTGAATCATTTGAACTGCTTTGATGTAGCGCGAAGGGACACGAGGGGACATATAAGGACACCACACAGTGCTACTAGCAACAGCCTCAAGAACAGTTATAACTGCTGTTACTGTAGTATTGATGTGTGTGGTGACAACAGGAACAACAGTTACCATAACTGTTGTTGCTATGACAATTTTGTTTTGGATCACTCGTGTCCACGCCTGTGCCGCTGGCAGTGACGGTGAATTTTCGATTTCAAATCAGCATTTAGGGCTTCGGCCATAATAAGAGCTTTTCACAGCTACTATTTTTAACATCATATATGCTCTATCGACGTTTCTTTACGAAGAGGACGACATTGAAGGTACTTAGGAGGAACACAAGTGTCTCTGATTACTCATGGCCATAAAGCGACCTGAATATGAAGAAGGGTGTGAAGGACCCGAGGAACTGCTGAGATAATCGAGGAACGAGTCGAACCCGTCGTCCGCAGAGGCAGTGGACTGATATCGATGTCCACCGTGACACGAGTTCAACTGCTGCTGCTGCTGCTGATAAGGCTGCTTGTTGACGGTTCGGTGGGGTGAAGCGGGAGACGCGGCGTCACCCTCGAACATTCGACAGGAGACGCTGTGTCGTACCTTGTTGACCTCTGCGTCCTGACCCTCGGGACTCGGGAGGCGTTGATTGAACGAGAATGGCCACGTCTGAAAAAAGCATCATTACGTCATCATCACTTGCTAAAAAAAATGGGACAAGAATGAAATGAGAGCAGACAGGTACAGCGCTGACTAACAACCAGATTTTCGCTATCGCTTGACAAACAATAAGAAGAGACGAACGTGCGACGTCCGAGAAACAGCACAGTGTGTAGTTTGACCTAGGACACACCTACTCAAACAGTTTCATCGCAAGCACAATCACACATATATTTAGCACCAGATAATCAACGTGATTGTTCGGGGGCTCTCATTGTGTTGTCCTGCTCTTTCACGTAGTCACACGCTATGATAGGAAGGCAGAGCCGGGAGAGAGAGGAAAGGCAGGCGTACTGAAACCACCACAGAAAAACCGGTATGCTTTTTTACAATGGCGAAAGAGATCAGTGAGCTTGAAAGTCAGATGTACCGAGAAAGAGAGTGAGGACTGGGATAGAGAGAGCACACACTGTCAAATTCTACGTGCTGGCCATCGCCAGCATGCCGCAGAAGCGGGGATGACGAAACGCTACAGGATATAATTTGTTCCTGCCCTGCTTTGTCCGCTGAACGATGCGCTATGGTGATGACCTGCTCGATCCCCCATGTTTGGTCTCCACGCGCCCTTGAAGATACTGGCCCTGCGATCGTTCATCGAGTTCGCGGTTCCTGCAGACCTCGTCACCCTCTACAGCCGAATGCTTGCCTTCTGCTCCGCCTATATCTTCTTCTTTTTCACGACAACTCTCTCTCTCTCTCTCTCTCTTGGTCTGTAACCAACGGGGCAAGCCTGTTGTCTTCGAGAATTTGAGCAAGGCTCATGCTACCCTAATCTGCAGTGACCTCTTGGTATGACATTATGAAATGGTGACTACCGTCATTGAACAACAGTCATGTTGAGCGTGAACGGTGTAATAATTTCATGTGCGAATCGCCTTAGGGTCTTGGCTTGTAGGCTTGTCATGTCGTTGTCGCGGTCCACCCTCAACGAGTGTGCACCTCCGAAATTGGAGAAGTCCCACTTACCTGCCATTCATCGATGCTATTCATATTACGAGTTAAACGTTCGTCATTACGCCTAAAACATTACGCTTGGCTTTTGCATAATGCCCGAAGAAATTTACCAAGGCGCTCAAGTTTATCACCATCAACCAGAGGCAGAAGCGTGCTATACGGTGTCTCTACGGTTAGATCATCAATTCGAAACAGCACTTCTTAAAACACATGAGTGAAGTGATGGTGCATGTTAGGGGACCGCCGGCGAATAAAGCAGTAGAGAGTAAAGATTTTGCTGTGGGAAATACGTGGGCACACAACATTCTTCACCCCTTCCCAGGTGTCACAACAGTGGATCTGTTGTGACACTGTTGTGACACAACAGATCCACTGTAACAGCCTTCCCTACCTTCGCCACAGTTTTTTTATATTGCCGTAATGGGAAGGGTATTGAATACGATGCGAAATTATAGTTTTAAGGACATGCATAAGAACTTCAGCACATCAAGCAAACCCACCAGCGCCAGTGGGTGCAGGCTTCGCGGCGAACCGCAGGCTGCGTCTTCGGCGGCCGAAGCGGGCGATGACGACGACGCCTCGTCGTCGTCGATCAGCACTCGTCGCAGGTGCGCGATGTAGCCGGCCGCCAACCTGAGCGTGTCCAGCTTGGAGAGCTTGGTGTCCTCGGGAACCCAGGGAAGCGACGTCTTGAGACGCGAGAAGGCGCGACTCAGCACGCGCATCCGCGCCCTCTCGCGGGCGTTCGCCGCGTTGCGCTGCAAGGGACGAGGCTTGAGCCTCGGTGGCGCCTCACAGCCGCCGTCCGAACCAGCCGTTGCTCGACGCCGCGAGGTGGCGCAGGCTTCGGGAAGCAGACGACGCCTTCGCGCCATGATGACGTGGACTAGCACGGGATTTCGTCCGCACGGAGGTCCTTGTGAACCGCCGCAGACACTTTGGCGGGAAGTCCTGCGCGACAGATTGGTGCCACCGACTCGTAGTGACGTTGCGAATAGTCGAGTTTGACCGAACAGCTGCGAAATCGTTAAAGGGGCCATGACAACCAATTTTCGATGACAATCTGTGTTAGGCGGGTTGTTAGTCCTTGTGGGTTCACAAACAAGTTGGCTAAAGTGTAGCGCATTAGCATAGCATTTATTGATTGGATATTTTTTATAAACACGCGAGCAGACGAGCATTTTAAGCATTCTTCGGCTTGGCATCGGAACTGAACACTCTGTAGTGGCTAAAACTTTAGTAAAAGACGACGGCTCCACTCCATGCAGTTCATGACGTTACACACAGCATGGCAGAATGGCGGTCACTGGTGGGGGTGGGGGTAAGGGGTTTATTGCCACTGACTTCTGGGGTTTATTTTGCACTGCAATACTTATTTAGTCTATGTTCTATACATGCGCCACAGACCTTCCACTTGTATTTATCGCTGAAACCCGCAATTTGTTGGGTGACATGTCACGGCCCATCTAAGAAAAAAACATAACGCATGTAGGTGGTCACGTACAATTTGGGTCGCTTCATGGGAGCCTGTCATCGTCAAGATGTGTCGACAACTGGGTGACCGTGCGCCTGGCATTGTGGTCAGTGGTATAGTTAAAATTCCAGCGGATTACTATGTTTAAGTGTACTTGAAGCTGAGAGTTCCAGACAGTTTTGCAAGATGCTGTCGAGCAAACAGTTTAGCACTCATCGCAAAAGAAGCCCAAAAGAAGCAGTAACATAAGAATTTTCCCATTCTTGAATATATTTTTAGTTAAAATAACGAGGGTCTCTCAAATACGAAGAGCAGTTTAAACAATTACCCAATTGTTATGTACAGCGAAATCATGCGCAACTATGAACAAAAGCACGTGGCTACTCGTTAACATTTTTTTCCAGGTTAGCCTCCATTCAGTTAAACTTATTCATTTATTTATTTACAGGTACTTCAATTACCATTCGGGGATTTCATCAGGGTGGTACATGAAGAAAGACACGTTTGCAAACTCACGATTAACGTTACCTGACGATTCCCCCAATGTATGTTTGCATACGTGCATACGGGGAGGAAGGGTAGGGAGTCGGCCCCTCCCCCTCTTGTGCCCTGAGAATAAGTAGAGGGGAGGCGTTAAATCACCCCGTACATTGGCTTAGTAATACGGGACGCTGCAGTGAATCTTCGGCACTTTAAATGGGGAACCTTGTGAACTCCTATGCACGCAACTACTCAACGTCATCGGTAAACTCATTGTGAGTGAACGACAAACGCACATCGGTGTACGTGATGAACCGTATACTATTGCTGACCGTATACTATTGCTGTATTTTTTTGTAATTACCCCATCCATGTAGCCATAGGAGGTCCCCCTGTCAGTTTCTCTGAAACTTTGGGACCTCCTGCTGTAATAACGCTAACCATGTAACTCAACTGAACTATTTAATAAACTTGACTTGACTTGACTTGACTTTAAATGGGGAACCTTGTGAACTCCTATGCACGCAACTACTCAACGTCATCGGTAAACTCATTGTGAGTGAACGACAAACGCACATCGGTGTACGTGATGAACACCAAAATAAGTACAATTGCTGGGAAAAGCAAAAAAAGAAGCCCAGAGAAACGTGGAATGCGACTGGAGTGTTCCATAAGTGACTTGGCGAAAAAAGAGCTCAAATGAGCTTATTATTAGCGAAACTAGCAACTCTGGTTCCGGAGCATATGTGGGGAGACTCCCTCCCCCCCTCACCTAAGAGGGGGGGGGGGGGGCACGACACTTAGTAAGTAAGCTAAGTAAGTAGTAAGAAAAGGGTGGACGCTGCAATCAACCTTTGCCTCCCATCATGGCGAAACTCGCGTATACTTATGTTCCAAAGCGCAGCTTTATGAATGTAGCTGACTTGCTTCGAGATCTTAAATTAAAGGGTACGAATGTATTTAGAGGATAATGGTCGTAAGATGGGCATTTGTTTGGTGCCTTACACAGGTTGTTTATTATGCAGAAAAATTCAGCTACCAACCCAGAGAAAGTAAGGCGGCTTTTCGGAATGTCGTATGCTCAGAGTGCGGTTGCAGGTTACGCTCCATAGACATCACCATGAATGCTTGGCTGGTAGAGCCCCAGGAATTACGTCACGGTTCGCTGTTGAGGCCCACGGGACGGCTTTTTGCTCTCCCATAGCAGAGTGCCTAGTACTCTAAATCGTGAACCACTTTTTCTAAACACAGCTAGAATGCTTCTCTGGTGTGTCCCACGACATCACCATGTATGGTTGGCTGGTCTGTTGCAGGTTAGGATCCATAGACATCACCATGAATTGAAGTACATCACGGTACTTTTGCTGTTGAGGCCCACGGGACGGCTTTTTGCTCTTCCATAATAGAGTACCCCTAGTACTTTAAATCGTTAACCACTTTTTTCTGAACACAACTAGAATGTTTCTTTTGGTGTGTCCCACGACATCACCATGTATGGTTGGCTGGTCTGTTGCAGGTTAGGCTCCATAGACATCACCATGAATTGAAGTACATCACGGTACTTTTGCAGTTGAGGCCCACGGGACGGCTTTTTGCTCTCCCTAATAGAGTACCCCTAGTACAATAAATCGTTAACCACTTTTTCAAAACACAGCTATAATGTTTCTTTTGGTGTGCCCCACGACATCACCATGTATGGTTGGCTGGTCTGTTGCAGGTTAGGCTCCATAGACATCACCATGAATTGAAGTACATCACGGTACTTTTGCAGTTGAGGCCCACGGGACGACTTTTTGCTCTCCCTTAATAGAGTACCCCTAGTACAATAAATCATTAACCACTTTTTCAAAACACAGCTATAATGTTTCTTTTGGTGTGTCCACATCACCATGAATGGTTGGCCATGGTCTAGCCTCAGGAAGTACGTCATGGCACTTTTGCTGTTGAGGCCCACGGGACGGCTTTTTGCTCTCCCATAGTCGAGTACGTAGTACTCTAAATCGTGAACCACTTTTTCTAAACACAGCTAGAATGTTTCTTTTGGTGTGTTCCACGTCCTTCGGTTCCATACCGGGTACTATACTGGGTATGGGGCTGGGCGTAACGTCTTTGGTTTTAGCAAGGGACGGCGCACTGCTCTCCCATATTTGAGTACGAAGTTCTCAAAATCGTTAGGCACTTTTTCTAAACACATTAGTATTCGTTACCGGCAGCTTAATGCTCTTTCATAGTAGAGTACACGGTGCTCTGAATCGACGAACACTTTCTTCTAAATACACATCATCGTTGAACATTTTTTTTGTTAACAAACATGATGTATGGACCCTGTACATTGTGCTTACTAGTTGTGTATGTGTTCATTATACTGTCCTTGTTGTACAGACACTAAGTCCACGTGTGTGGTACGTACTACGTCCAAATAAACTTTTTCTAAACTCACCCAGCATTGCCGGTTTTACACCGAATTCACAAAACTGATTTTTGGTTCTCTTTCGCTTCAGCTCAATAGTGCATGGTGCACCACACAGTGAATTATTGAAGTCTGTACAGAATTGCGTCTGCGTTTGCATAAATTATACTCGTATGATTTCGAAGTTCTCAGTGTATAAGTGTCTCAAGTGTCTGTGTATAGTTTAATAAACCTTCCTCAGACCACACCAAGCTTTGCAGGACATTAGACCTGATCATGGTTAAAGACAGAATCGGAAAACGAAGAAGCTTTCTCGGAAGATGGCATGCACGATCTTTGCGGGGCGGTATGATGACATTGAGTTTCCTACAGTGACGTTTCTAAACACCTGGCGCAAGAAAAACAAGAAAAACAGAGCATCAGCGGGATCGTTCGGTGTCACCGTGAACCCCTCGCGACATTAACCACTCAGGCACGTGAATGAGTGACAAAGCGGTGTACAGTTATACACAATGCTTATTGATCATAACTGGTATTTTGGGCGATATAGAATTTCTAAATCCTTACATAAATCTGCGGCGATGTTTCCGACGTTGCTCCTCTAAACACACTGGTGAAAGTAGCAAGGGTTGTCTAGCATTCAATATCATTAATAAATCTTTACTGGCGTTGCTTGAAGCCTGCATCGACTAAATTGAATGGAGTGTGTTAGCTAAATTGATCAAGGTAGTGCATGTAGCTAGAGCTTGTTAATTAAATACTTGATGAATAAGTGTCCTGCAAATGAAAGTCTCTTTACCGTTCCTCATCGAAGAGAATGATGCCACGAATGATGCCAGAAAGATGTCACGAATTAGTTTAAAATTAGTTTTACTCGAAATAAAAAAAAAACGTAAGACATAACAGTTTTCTCGAGAATGAACGAGCGTGATATAATCATGCATAGAATAATACGATGTTGAAGTTACGAAACACAATATTTTCTTTCACAGGAAAGCTTCGGAAAGTCCCGGAAGGTTGTGTAAAACACCACGGTGCTCCGATCAGTCAAGGTCAGCGCATTACGACCGACAGGCCCATTGCCGCATAAATCACTGCATCATGCCATTGCTTCTCATCTTATATCGAAATAAACGCACTCAAAGATAAAAGGTGTAAGATAAATCAACAGAGGAAAAAAAAATCACGTAAAAGAAAGAAAGGAAGCCATCCACTCACCTCGTTGTGAATTATCTCTTCTTTAGGTGCACAGTCCCGTCCACTTCGTTTCGCAACGACACTCAACGAGATGGATTCGTCACAGCAGTAATGCACGACGTATCGCCACGCGTAGGAAATCAAACTAGAACACTATATTTTTTTTCAAGGAAACGGCTTACATGCCATGAGTAACGCATAGACGCGTAAGTGGAAGTGATAAAAGACGACAAAACCCCTCTGCTACTGTATACCCCGTTCGCTTTTAGCGAAGACTCATCTTATCGAGCGACAAATTGAGCGCTCCTCGCCATTCGGAACAGAACCTCGCTTTCTTGCAGTGTCTTTCAAAGGACCTTCTGTTTGGTGCGTGCTTCAAAGCGCCTCTGTGAGTGCTGTCAGACTTTTGGAGCTTTCGTTTAACTTCGTTTGTTGTTTTGTCGGAGTTGTCTTCGTTTTGTAATTCGCTTT